TCCATACATACAAGAAAGGGAGTCTTGCTGGAGGGATATCATTGGGTTTGGGAGAAGCAAGAAGGTCTTACTTATTTCTTTACAGTCTTCAATACTGTTAAATGTTTTAAATGAGTATTTAGTGTTTTTTAAAAGAAATATCAAGTTATCTTAGATCTGGAAGAGACTTTTAGAGATTGTTTGTGCAATCTTCTATGCAGTCTTTCATTGGAAAGCAGGTAACCCGTTTTCCTGTTCCAGACATTACAGCTTGTCTTAATTATGATGAGGGAGAAAGAATTTTAGTTACTGAAAACTGGGAAACAGAAATAACTTGACTATAGGGCTAGTGTCACAGTGCAGTGAGCACTGGTCTGAGTTCTAGCTGCACTGTTCCTGATCCAGCTTCCTGCTAACATGTCTGAGAAGGCAGAGGAGGATGGCCCAGGTACCCTGCTCCCAGTGTGGGAGACCTGGATGGTGCCAGCCTTTGAAGCCATTTGAGAAGCTAAGGAGCAGATGGAAGATCAATCTCTCTCTCTCCCCCTCTCCCCCCTCTCCACACCTCCCCTTTGCCCCCTCTCTCCCTCTCCTCTCCTCTCCTCTCCTCTCCGATCAGCACTCCCCTCTACCCTCTCCCCTCTCCTCTCTCCTCTCTCCTCTACTCTCCTCTCTCTCTCTCCCCCCTCTCCCCCCCTCTCCCCCCTCTCCCCACTCTCCACACCTCCCCTTTGCCCCCTCTCTCCCTCTCCTCTCCTCTCCTCTCCTCTCCTCTCCCTTCCTCTCTCCTCTCCCCTCTCCCCTCTCCCCTCTCCTCTCTCCTCCTCTCCCTTCCCCTCCCCGCTCCCCTCTCCCCTCTCCCCTTTCCCCTCTCTCCTCTCCTCTCCTCTCCTCTCCCCTCTCCTCCCCTCCCCTCTCCCCTCTCCTCCCCTCTCCCCTCTCCTCCCCTCTCCTCTCTCCTCCTCTCCCCTCCTCTCCTCTCTCCTCCTCTCCCCTCCTCTCCCCCTCTCCCCTCTCCCCTCCTCTCCTCTCTCCTCCTCTCCCCTCCTTTCTCCTCTCTCCTCTCCCCTCTCCCCTCCCCTCTCCTCCCCTCTCCTCTCCTCTCCTCTCTCCCCTCCCCTCTCCTCTCCTCTCTCCCCTCCCCTCTCCTTTTTTCTTCTTTTCACTCTTCTCCTCTTCCTCTCCCCCTCTTTTGACTTCTTCCCTTCTCCCCTCACGCTTCCGCTTCCTCTCCTCTCCTATCCATCCCTCCCTCCCTCCCTCTCTCTCTCTCTCACTATGCCTTTCAAATAAATAAATACATCTTTAAGAAATAACTAGAATATGGAAAAGGTTATGGTTCCTATGTTTGTTATTCCAGATTGGTTAACACTTCAGTGGTTGTTTATTTCATTATGGGTTATTGTTGCTTATCTCTTATTGTGCCTTAAGATCTTGGAGGCATTTTCCTTTCTGGTAAACAAAGCTTGGGCAAGATCAAAAGAAATCATACATTGAAATTTGTGGCAGGCAGCAGAAAGCATCTAATAAATTATAGCTGTCATGTTATTTCCATTATAAAATAGTCTGGTGTAATAAGAAAACATCGGTTTGACTGATGTGGATAGACTATACTACATTTTATTTTATTCTGAAATTTGCCAGCATTTTGTGATATAAGAAATGAATCTGGCATATGGATTTAGGCCAGGGCCAACAGCTTGCTCCTAACACGTCTGGAAAAGTGTTTCAGAATTCAGTGTATCCACGGGCAGTGCCTGCAGGGGCTGAGATGCGTCTCTGCTAATGGGTCTCCGTGTCAGCAGACACATTAACTGCCTTTTCGCTTGCAGATTCTGAGCATATGCTCAGGTTTCCAAATGTGTTCCAGGGTAAATAGTCATTGGTTTCAAAATTGTTCAAGAAATGATTACTGACACCTGAGATCAAAGCCACCAACAGGTTGTTTTGCCCTTCATCATAGACTCAAATTAAACCTGACCTTGCTTTCTATTTTGCTATGGAAAGGGTCTGATCTCCTGCCCCACATGTCCTCCAGAGAACTGAAACCCCCCCCACCAGCACTATAAGAGTGCCAGGGATCCCACAAACCAGGGCTGAGATACTGCTCAGGTCTGAGCCAAGGGTCTAATTTTCAAATCCCAAAGACCTTAGCCCATGACCCCTAACTGCTCTCAGTGGAAACCTGTCAGGTAGCTGCAAAGTTCTTAAAGAACCCCATTAAAGCAAGAGGCAGCATTGCCTACCCTGTGATTATCTAAGGTGGTTTTATTGCCATAATATATAGTTAACTCCCACCATAAAATCAGATACTCCATTTGAAAATGAGGATCTAAGAAAACATTCCAGTTACAAATCTGTATTTCTCACATACATGGCTGTTAATTCTGGAAGACTGCTACATTTCAGAGAAGAGGCAAAGATCATTTTAGCCATGAACTGAAGAGAGGATGTGTGTGTGTGTATGTATTGTATACATGTGTTTAGGATGACTGTCTCACCCCATCCCTAAATGCAGCCTCCAAGAGTTTGCAGGAACAAAAGGAACACTACACTAGGAAAAGCTGATTGGGGTGATTTTTTTTACCCTGTGAAAGCTTAGAAGAAGGTTTTGGCGTTCCTGACAGTATGAACCCATTTTTATTTATTTATTTGAAAGATAGAGAGTCAGACAGACGAAGAGCGCTCCCATCAGCCAGTTCACTTCTCAAATGCCCTCAGTGGTCAGGATGGATCAGGACCTAAGCCGAGAGCCAGGAACTCAATTCAGGTCTCCCTCATGGGTGGCAAGAACCCAATCACTTGAGCCATCACTGCTGCCTGCCAGGGTGTGCATTATCGGGAGCTAGAGCCAGGGATCAAACCTGTACACAGCGGCACACTGCGCCCTGCTCCTCAACCTCAAGCTCTCCCATGGAGACTACTACAGGAAACGGCCGGCTCTGGCACCGGGCGTGATGGTGAGTGCGTGGCGTCAGGCACTCCAAGGGCAAGCGGTGGGGGACACAGGTACCTTTACTGCTAGGCTAAACACTCACCCCATCTTTGAGTTTCAGGTACAATTGTTTGCTTGGTTTTTGTTGCTTTCTCAGTTAACATGCATAAAGTACAAGAGACCCCTCAAAAGTGAACTTTGTATTACATATAAAATAAGTAAATTTTTAGAAAACATTGTGGAAAGTGAATAAGTATGACTTACGGTTTTTTAACCTCTTTGTTTTTTTTTAAACTTTCACTGAGATATAATTCAGTTAACTGTAATTTGCTTATTTAAAATACACAATTCAGTGGTTTTTGACGTGTGTGTTTTAATTGTGATTGTATATGTAACAAAATTTTATATTTTAACCATTTTGAGTGTACGATTCAGTGACGATAATTATATTCACAGTGTTGTACAAACATCCCCACTATTTCCTCATCCTAAACAGATACAACTCTTCCCCAGTTCTTGGTAAACACCAATCTACTTTCAGTCTCTGTTAATTTTTTCATTCTAGGTATGTCTTATCAATTAATCCTATATATGTGTCATTCTGTGACTGCCTTATTTCTCTTGGCATAATATTTTTAAGCTTCATGTTGTAGCACGTATAAGAACTCCTGTTCCTTTTTATGACTATCCCACTTTATGTAGGAAAGGTCTTCCAAACATTCATGGAAAATACACATTATTAAAAAAAACTATGCATATATTTCAAATAAAATTTGCACCAAAATAAGCTTATCTTTTAATTCTTTTTTCCATACAGTTTTGGAAGTACCCTCCCATATACCGTATTTTGTGTAGCCATTGGTCTGTTGAGGGACACTGGTTATTCCCGCATTTTGCCTATTGTGTATATTGGTGCATATATATATTGTGCATCTGATGTACACGTTTCTGTCCAAGTCCCTGCTTTCAGGTCTTTGGCCATAGAAGTAGGAGTACCACTGCTAAATCAAATACGGAACCTTCAAAAAGTTATGGAAGTTTGGAATTAAAAGATAAGTTTATTTTGTTGTGAAAATTTTTTGGAACTTTTCAGTATACAGATTCTTCAAGAAGTTCATGGAAAATGTGCATATGCAAAAACTGCGTGGGTTTCAAAACTTTTGAACCAAAACAAACTTATCTTTTAATTCAACTTTCCATGAGCTTTTTGAAGTCCTCTAGTATGTTAATTCTACATTTTGCTTTTGGAGGAACATCATTACTTTTTGGAAAGTCTGTACTTACAAGTAATTACTCTAAACACCTTACATGTGTATTGTATCTGTTTCTCATAGCAGGCTTGTTCATTCATTTTTTATCTATCAATTCACAAGTATTTTCAAGGCTGCTACTATATGCTAGGCACTATTGTAGGGACCAGGGACTCTGTAATGAACAAAACTAACACTGTCTTATACAGATTATGTGATATTGATAGCAGACATTAAATCATACTAATAGAATTCTGCATAGAATCAGTGCTTTTGAGGTAATGACATAAATGCAGGGGGAGGAAGCAGAGTATTGTCGGGGGTGGGAGACGCTGCTGAAATGGAAAATCTCTGAGAAACTGCACTTGAATGGGCACCTGAAAGAACAGCAAGAGCAAGTTTTCCAGATACCCTGGGGAAGGCCATTTCAGGGAGTGGCAAGAGCATATGCAAAGGCCCTGGGGCAGGCCCACGCTTGGTGTGGGCAAGACATAGCAGGCAGGTTAGGGTGCCTGCAAGGTGTAAGAAGGAAGGGAAATTAGGAGCCACCGGAGAGCTTAGCATGAGATGGAGTGTGTCCGTTATTCTCCCTTTTTGTAGGAAAAGAAGGGGAGACTTACAGGGTCTAAATGAATGTACCGAGACACAGGTGCTAAGTGATGGATGAAGATTCAGGCCAAGGCAGAGCCACTCCAGAGTGCATGCCCTTGGCCAGCAGCCCCACTAGTGCAGCACTCCGGACATCCTGGGCAGGTGCAGTCTCTCGGGCCCTCCGCCACGGGCCCTGCCTGGCGCAGTGTGTGCAGCCCCAGCACCGCCTCCATTCTCCCCCTCAGGCATGATGCACTCCCCCGGCTTCGACGGGAACAGCAGCCTCAGCTTCCAGATGCTGATGAACGCGGACAGCCTGTACACGGCGGCGCACTGCGCCCTGCTCCTCAACCTCAAGCTCTCCCATGGAGACTACTACAGGAAACGGCCGGCTCTGGCACCGGGCGTGATGGTGAGTGCGTGGCGTCAGGCACTCCAAGGGCAAGCAGTGCTTCTTGGCTGAGCACTTAGGAAGCAGGTGTCCTGTTCCACACTGCTCTACCGCGTGTGCCCGTGCAGCTGTGGCAGGTGGGGAGAGACAGCAGCATTGAGAAGCAGGCGTGCGATTTGCATGGACCTGTGAGTTGTGGCCCCTTGGTTTCATCCAGTGTCACTATTAACCACACGTGTGCATAGACCACACGCAAAAGTGCATTGACAGCAGGCAAAGGGTGATGTGAAGATGTGCAGAGAATCTCCTGTAGAGAAAGACGAGCTGTGACAAACACTGCATTCCACAACGTGTGCAGACTGGCTCATGAGCCAGACCTGGTGGTGGGCCACCAGGGGCGGCGCCTGCCTTCGTGTAAGGTCTGGGGTGAGAATGATGTTGCTTAGCCCCGGCTGGCTCCCATGATTCCACAGTGCCCCCTTGTCTCAGTCCCTGAGCCTAAATCCACGGGGCCTGCAGGAAGGCGCTCAGCAGTGATTTGCTTAATGAGCTGTGCCTTCCCGAGGGCAAGTGATGACTTCATGAACATGAGTCACGTATTCGGACGTGCGAGGGCTCCTCTAGGGAGCAATTTTCATCTCTGCAGCTGCTGGGCCAATGGGAAGAAGCTTTGCTAAAAAATTAGCCTTGCGGTCTCTGACCCCCCTTCCCCGGGGAGTGAAAACAGAGAATGTGGCATCCCTAATCCTCCCACAGGGTGCCTGTTGAAAGATGTGAGAAATGCAGGCAGCTTCGTGAAGTTTGGGCCTCGCTCTATGCCACCTGTTCCCCTGCTCCGCCCCAGCACAGTGAACCAGTCAGTGCGGCTGGGGTGCAGGGCAAGTCCGACGTGTGCTTTAGGTCTGTGTGTCTGCAGGGCGTCACCCTGGGTCCCTTTTTGTTGTGCTCTGTCTCTGTAGAAAGAGTTCCTGAAGCAGGTGCAGACGAGCGGGGTGCTGATGGTCTTCTCCCAGGCCTGGATCGAGGAACTCTACCATCAGGTGCTCGACCGAAACATGCTGGGAGAAGCTGGCTACTGGGGCAGCCCGGAGGACAACAGCCTGCCCCTCATCACCATGCTGACCGGTCAGTGGCCGCTGCCAGGGCTCCGTGGCACGCCGGGGGTGGGAGGGGCACCCTTCAAAAAGCCTCTTACGTTGAAGCAAGCGTGTTCCAAGCAGACTTTGAAACAGCAGCCACAGGGCTTCCCTGGCAGCGGGTGACAGTTCCAGGGAATTGACACAGAGGCACTTCACGTGGAGTTTCTGTCCTTTCTGCGTGTGGGAGTCTGCCAGGCTTGCTGTACCCTGTTAGACAGGAACGAGCGTAGCACCTCTGTCTGGGGTGAAGCTGCAGGCCTCTCCTCTGGAGATCTAGGGCTTTCTGGGCACAGAGCCCAGAGTTTTTCCTGGAAGCCCTCACGTGCTAATAGACACCCTCGATCATGCTGTGCTCGGGGGAATTTCCCAGTAAGATGAAGCGATCGATTTTCAGCTTGGCCTCATTCCCATTTTCTGTCCACATCACGGGATCCCCCTTCCCTTCCTGGCTGTGCCGGAATGAAAAGCAATGCCAAGGGTGTGCCTGCCCAGCACCTTTCCCCTTGGAGTCCCGAGCTTCCATGTCCTGTTTAACTCTCAGAGATGCTACAGGCGCGCATACGGAGCAGTGTTGTGGAGTTATTTTGTTTCTGACAAAAGCAGCTTTTCTTGGCCTTTTATGGCTCAGCTACAATGTCAGTGAAAGAGCAGAGAGGTTCTGTCATCTGCCTAAGAGAGATTGCTCAGGCCTCTCCTGGGCTCGCTCTGACTTCCAGGGCTGATTTCTGACCTGAGTGATTCCCCTCTGGGCTCCAGCCGACAGGATACATGGGGCATGGCCCTGCCCAGACACCTGTGTAGTGCCCTCCTGCCTCACACGCTGTGCACCAGGCAGGAAAGGCCAGCTGGAAGGTGTAATCTCTGGCTCGAAAGGTTGGCTAAGAGGCCAGCATTGTGGTGCAGTGGATTAAGCCACTACCTGGAATGCCAGCATCCCATGTTGGAGCACCCGTGTGAGTCCACTTCCGATCTAGCTCTCTGCTGGCTTGCCTGAGGATGCACCAGAAGATGGCCTGAGTGCTTTGGTCCCTGCCACCCACATGGGAGACCAGGATGGAGTTCCTGGTTCCTGGCTTCGGCCTGATCCAATCCCAACTGTTGTAGGCATGCAAAGAAGTCCCAGCTTATTGGGACAAGAATGAAATCCTAAACTCAAGAGATAAATGTGTACCACCCTCCTTTTCCGCCTCTCCTGGTGTTGCATTCAACTGTATTAGTTATACCCAAGTACCTATATTTCAGCTCCATACTGAGGAATTTAGGGCACAGGGAACAGAGTACCTGCACCACAGTTATAACATCTCTGGTCATATTTTCTTGCCAGAATGATAAAAAGTGGTTGGTGAGTTAATTCTGTACAGGAGAGTTTATTTTACCAAAAATTTTAACAGGGCAATTTAAGATCCCATGTTGAGCTGTGATGTGGTGTCATGGTGTGCATAGAAGTCAGAAAACATGAACACTAAATCAGATTTCCCTTTGCCAACCTCAAAGGCCTTGGGGAATTTACCTGCTATAAATACTTATTTCCTGGCACAGGTGTTTAGAAGCAGGGATGGGATTCCCACATCCAACTCGGAGTACCTGGCTTCAAATCCCAGCTCCACTCCTGACTCCAGCTTCCTGCTAGTGCACATGCTGAGAGGCAGCAGGGGCTGGCTCCAATAGCTGAGTCCTTGCCACCTGCAGGGGAGGCTTGCATTTGGTTGCTGCCTCCCAGCTTCTTCCTGTCCCAACCTCAACTGTTGTAGACATTTAGGAAATAAACCAGCAGGTGGGGGCTTGCTTTCTCTCTTTCCCTGCCTCTCAAATAAATGAATATTAAAATACACACACACAAACATCTCCAACCCTGACTGCCTATTTTGAGTTGCTGGGAAAATCAAACAAAAAGATCTTACATGAAAATAGTTTGCAAATTGTAACATATTCTATCAATAAATTAGTGTTTCACTTTCCCAACAGAATATCTGGTTATCTGACCAAAGAGGCTTATTCTCTTAATGCTTAGAGAAAGCACTGAAACAAAAATCCATGTTAGGGTAACCTATCCATATAAAATCTGGGAATAATATCATGTCTTTGAATAAAAAGAATGTTCAATGATCAAAATATTCTAAGGGAATAGATTTTCCAACAACAGTGCTAGCAGAGTTTACTTTTTCAAATAAAAAACATACAACAGCATAATATAAGAATGCTTTAACATTGCAAGAAAACTGGACTTATTGAATAAAACAATTTATAATGTTCTGACCAATGTTGATATATACTTGGTATGTAACAGATACAGTGGATATTTGTTGGGGGAAAAATGAATATCGTAATGGCATTTGTTTGTGACGGGAGTGTTTCTTTAGGGGAAACTTGACTCTTTTTCCTTGACAGATATTGATGGCTTAGAAAGCAGTGCCATTGGTGGCCAGCTGATGGCCTCAGCTTCTACAGAGTCCCCGTTCACCCAGGGCAGGAGAATTGATGACTCCACAGTGGCAGGTAAGGTCTTGGATCTTCAGCTCATGAATGTCCATAGGTTGCATGTGTTACCTGCAGTGAAGTTCCTATGTGTTGCCATAAATGAATGAAGATTTTTGTCTCAGAGGAAGGGGTATCCAATGGACATTACTGGGCCTCATCCAGTGGATGATACAGCCTTTGCTATTGATAAGCACACGGTAAAACACAACCCAATGTAACCCATTAGATAAACTTTTCATCACGGAACTGCATGCAACCCATGATTGGTAGTTTGGTGGCCAGAGAATCCCATGCCCTTCGTTGCCAGGTTATTTTTGTCTCTAGAAGGTGACCCACATCCATTCATGTTCCAGGTGTGGCATTTGCTCGCTATATTCTGGTTGGCTGCTGGAAGAACTTGATTGATACTTTATCAACCCCACTGACTGGCCGAATGGCGGGGAGCTCCAAGGGACTGGCCTTCATCCTGGGGGCTGAAGGCATCAAAGAACAGAACCAAAAGGAACGGGACGCCATCTGCATGAGCCTTGATGGGCTGCGGAAAGCCGCACGGCTAAGCTGTGCTCTAGGTACTGGCCAAGTCATGCTCCCCAACCTGTGCTGTAAAGGGAGTCACTGGGAATGGCCCCAGTGGGGAAGAAGTCTCTTTAAAGGGGTTTTGCTAGGCAAATAGTTAGAGGCTGTCCTTTCGGTTAAGGGGTAATGGTTTATTTCCCCTACAGGGGTTGCTGCTAACTGTGCTTCAGCCCTTGCCCAAATGGCGGCTGCCTCCTGTGTCCAGGAAGAGAAAGAAGAAAGAGAAGTCCAAGAACCCAGTGACACTATAGCACAAGGTAACAGCAGAAGGAAACTAATCTACCTGGTTCCCGGGGTCAGGTGTGCACACTCCTGTCCACACCCACACGTGTGCTGGCACTCATCCCTCTTTTGTGTCTGATGCACAGTAATCCATGTATAACACTGGTCTTGAGGTCCCATTGAACCACAGGTGTTGGTCTGTTTTGCTTGGGGGCCCTGCAGAGTGCTTTCAGTAGGTCCCTTTGGAGATGAGATTTTCCAACGACAGTGGACCCTGGCCAAGAGGAAAGTACAGATGGCTGCTAGCAGGAGTCCTGTGGGCCCAAGTGGCTAAGCTGATGATACCTCTCTCCATCATCTGGCCATTGGCTCTCATGCTTCAAGGAGGTACACAGTTGAAGGCTATTCTGACTATAGTGGGTGAAGGCAGATGGGCCAGTTTTCTGAGAGAAAAATTGAATAGATGGAGTAAATCCATAGCAGGGAGCTCAGGAAGTCTTTGCTTTTTTTTTATTTTTTATTTTTTTGGCGGGGGGACTAAGGGAAGGGTTGATGTTCCACCTGATAAATCAGTCAATGAAATGGATGAGTATCCAGATAGAAAGGAGAAAATGACCTTGATAATGAAAGACTGTGCACACACAGAAGGAAAATGCAAGCACAGTCCAAATTGTGCTATCTATCAGATCTTTAAAATGGCAGACATTGAAACAGTTGCCCATTTTTAGCTGTGAAAAACAGTTTGGGCCAATGTCTTTCCAACTTAAATATTTAGAGACCTATGTGAAAGCAAAGTAATTTTGACAGATCCCCCATGGGGACTGAAAAATAGGTATGACAATTCACTTAAGTATTGTACAACTGTGCACTATATCAAAACCCTAACATTCAACATTCTTAAGAAAACTACAAAACCCAAACAAAACTATTCAAATTACATACAAATAAAAAATAACATCAAGGTCAGATTTACAGAGACAAATGATGTTTTGCTAAAAATCACTTTTCCCTTTCACAGCAGGAATATGTTGAGATTGCTGTCACATTAGCTTGAGAAAAGGCTCCTGAGTTCTTGGCCACCACTCAGTTACCCCCTAGATCTGGTTGCTTGAAACATTTATTCAAGGAGAGCACTGTGTTATTTGGCCATGCCTTGGCATTGTACATAATTGATGCTCTAAGTCAATGTCTGCATCCTTTCTTAATAGTTGTCTTTTTTTTAAAAAAAAAGGATTATTTGGAGCTCACAAATACAAATGTAAATATAGGGAGTAATGATACAGTAATCTTTGGTTATAAAACAGTCATCTTGGTGCTCAGAATACATGTACGTAATTTTAGAGCTGATCATCATAATGAAAGCATAATATTAAAATAATCTCAGAACTTGAAAGAAAACTTCTGTGTTACCATTGTGAGTACACAGGGGAGGGTGGAGAGTCTGGGCACAGATGGCTTTAGTTAGAATCCGTACACAAAGCCCATCAACACTGCCAAGCCTGACTCACAGCCCATGGGCACCTGGAGGGAACTACACCTACCAGCCTGGGGTCTACCTGACTTCTGGAGCCACAAAGCGGGGGTCACCAATGTTTGTACAGCCTGCTGGCTGGGTAGTTTGCATGGGGAGCCGTAGGGACATGCCAGAGAGGAGCTTGCTACCAGTGAAGTCTGTTTTCCTCTTGCCCTTGCATGACAACACATTCTTCATTTTCACCCTTTCTCTCTCCCTTTCTGTCTCCCTCACTCAGACTGTTATTTTAATAAATGTCTTTCTGGCACAGTGAAACTAAAAGTGGAGCAGAAACTGGAGCAGATTGGGAAGCTGCAAGGGGTGTGGCTGCACACAGCCCACGTCTTGTGCATGGATGCCATCCTCAGCGTAGGCCTGGAGATGGGAAGCCACAACCCGGACTGCTGGCCACACGTGTTCAGGTGCATGATGGGATCCCCACCCCTTGATGTCATCAACCCTGCCTTGGGAAGCCAGGGTGGGTAGGCTCAAGGGTCTGCCAGTGTTATAATAGGTTATGATAATCCACAGAGTTTGAATAAACTCCAATTGGGAGAGGAAAAGAGAAGAGGGAATGGGGGCAACACAGAATGTATGTTTTGGAGAACAAAGTGACAGAACAGGATTAAAGGATATTTTAATTTATCTGTTGACATTGTCTGTGGAAGATACATGTGTCCTACCAAGGAAGAAAAACCAGCTTCTTAAATAGTGGATGGTAAGAGACCATGTAAGTTAAGTGTTACTTTGTGAATCTAAAAACTGGCCATGTATCAGCAATTAATATTGCTGTATGTTTATCAGTGTCCTCTTTATTCAAAGAGGATTTTAGGTAGTTTGTGTGGATATATAAAGTGCAAGATAGCTACTTTTAATTTGTCTAGGCAAAGAAAAACAAACAGAATCATACAACTGTGTTCCAGACTGGCCAGGAATTTCACTGCAAGCCAGTGGCATCAAAGGGAAAAGAAACTCCCCATTAGCAGTAATGCATTCACAGTTCATGTAAGACAGAAACAAAACAGTAGAGCCCAAGCCTTGGCATTAGGACAGATCTGGAACAATCTGGAACAATTGGAAGGAAGGCACTGTGCTCACAGAGGCAGGTGTCCGGCTGTGCCTTGTCCTTGATGACACACACCCCAGGCCTCCCACCATGCATAGTGTAGGCAGAGCAGCCATGGGGCAGGGGCAGCAGCAGCAGCAGGGTGAGGACCCAGGGCACAGCCAGATCTGGGTTCAGTTTGACCCCTTCAAAATGAACACAGCCGTGAATGGCCCATTTCAAAGAGGGGAGCGTGCAGAATGTTCCTGATTGAGAGCCCAGGCATGAGAGGAACACAGGAAAGGACCAGGATGAATCAACCAGGAGCAAACTGTGATTGAATATGGAGTTTGCTGCTCCTTAGGAGAGAAAAAAGCGAAAGGCTCGGGTGGTCCCCAAGTTCAATGTATGGCATTGAAAAGTGCCCTAAGGATAGCGCATCAGAGTCAAGGTGCTGTTGACTGGGAGCTAGACTTACTCTGGAATCGGGGGCCTCTTCCGAACCATCTTAATCCCAAGTCCTATTGGGAACAAACACTGAACAGTGGCAGTTGCACCACGTGTTGTGACTTCTCTCTGTGTTTGTCATGATTAGGGGACTGCCCTGATCCCATACCCAAACCCCACCCCAACGTGAGTTACTGGGAGTGATCAGGACCAGGCAGGACTTGGCTGGGCAGAGCCCCTTAGTGGCCAGAGGGTCTGTCCCTCCCGAGGGTATCTGAAAGTAAGGGAACCCTCTCCAGTGCCGAATCTGAGCACTGCATACAGAGGATGAGGATTCCTTGTGGGGAAAAAAGGCTCCACCAGCCAGAGCCCCGCTAAGCCGGTAGGCTCCACTGAGTGCCACCAGTGAGAGGGCTTTGCTGCCTGCCCTTGCTCACGTGGAGTGTGAGAATCCGAGGAGCCCTGTACCCACTTTGAGGCTGTGTGGTTCAACTCAAAAGAAAAAAAAATAGATGTATAGAACAGAAAGAGATCAGGGAGGGAGGGAGCTGGGGGTGGGGAATCAGGGAAGGCTGCGGAGCTGGCTGGATTTCCTCTGTGCGTGCATGTGTGTTGATGTCACTGCTGGCTAAGCGGCACTCACTGGCCACTTGTCTGTGGCTCTTTGCAGGGTGTGTGAGTACGTGGGCACATTGGAGCACACCCACTTCAGCGACGCCACCTTGCAGCCCCCTGTGACCATCAGCCAGCCCCAGAAGGTGTCCGGGAGCTCTGGGCTCCCTGGGGACCCTGAGTGTGAGGGCTCGCCGCAGGAGCAGAGCCTGGAGCCAGGGTCCTCCCTGAGCACGGCCCCCATCGTCCAGCCCCTCTCCATTCAAGAACTGGTCCGGGAAGGCAGCCGGGGCCGGGCCTCGGACTTCCGCGGCGGCAGCCTCATGACCGGGAGCAGCGCTGCCAAGGTGGTGCTCAGCCTCTCCACCCAGGCCGACAGGTGCGTGGCACGGCCGTCTGTCCGCTCTCAGCATCATCAGGGATGGCTCTGTGCATTAGCCACTCACTGCAACTCTTCTGATCTGTGTCAAGCATAGGTGTCTCCACCGCCAAGCCCCCTATCTGGAAATGAAGCCTTTTCTAATGGCTAAGATGTAGGGTCCAACTCTGCACTTACTCTCTCTCCTTGTGCAGCCTCGCCCCCTGGTGTCTTCACTGGTGAAATCGGGTCATTTCTGAACATAGTTCCACGGGGTTCTCATGAGGTTAACTTCAGTATTAAACTTAAGGCCAAGAACAAAGCTTGGCAAACAGTAAAACCCCACTGTTTTAATGATGCACGCTGCTTACAACATCCTATACCCAAGAGTACGCGATGTTGTTTATGGATGTTCAATGACCGTGAGAAGGTAACGAGGGGAAAACATTGTCTCAACTGTTGGGTGACACTTCTTGATGCTGAAAGTGCTTTTGGTCGCTAGTTATACATCGAAGTGCCCCATTTAACTCTTTCAGCATCATGCCCCACACCAGCCAGCCTGGGTACAGTGAGGAGGATGGGGGCCAGTGCTGTGGAGTAGTAGGTTAAGCCTATGCCTACGGTGCTGGCATCCCATATGAGTGCCAGGAAAGCAGTGGAAGATGACCCAAGTGCTTGGGCCCCTGCACCTACATGGGCGAACCAGAAGAAGCTCCTGGCTTCAGATCAGCTCAGCTCCACTATTGCAGCCATTTGGGGAGTGAACCAGCTGATGGAAGACTTGTCTCTCCGTCTCTCCCTCTCTCTCTCTGTAACTCTGCCTCTCAAATAAATAAGCCAGGAGACTGACTTACCCCATTCTGCATTGTGGCCACACGAAACTGATGCTCGTCATTCTGCTCCCTGGTGTCTTCTTCCTAGTCCTACTCTGGCATCTCCAGCTCCTCCTTGACCTTGTCTGCTGGAAGTGTCTGTGCCCCGTGGCATGGGAAACAAAAGGAACCTGCAAGGTGCATTAGGTTCTGGAACATTCTTTGCCCCTGTAGATGTTTGAGCTCCTCTGATGTCCAGGGCTCTTGGTGTGTGAAGCCAGAGCCACAAAGGTGGTTTCCAGGATTGGCCCTTACTGTTTTTGTCTCCTCAACACAAAGCTCATCAGTCGTAGGCAACCAGAAGCCTCTTAGTTTATGGTATTTTAAAAATATAACATGAAATTGAAGCTAATTCTGAGGATTCTATTGCTACTCAGTGTCTGGGTGTGATGCTTGGCCACCTTTCACTTTTCTTTAAGATTGATTGATTTACAGCCCTAAAGGCACTCGGATCTGGCTGAAAAGCCCATGAGAGTATTTCAGGCATGGAAAGCCAAGACACTCTGGCAAAAAGATCTCTGTGAGTGAGATCCCAGTGGAAAGAACAGGTCTTCAAAGAGGGAGGTGCCTTTCTCTGAAGGGAGGAGAGAACCTCCACTTTGACTATGACCTTATCTAAACAAGATAAGAGTCGGAGAACTCAAGGGGCTTCCATAGCCTTGGAAACTCATGACTGGTGCATAGGGAGATTACTGATGCCATAAACAGGAGTGTCAATTTGTAAAGTCAACAACAGGAGTCACTGTGCACTTACTCCTCATGTAGGATCTCTGTCCTTAATGTGCTGTACACTGAGGCTTAATGCTATAACGAGTACTCAAACAGTATATTTCACTTTGTGTCTCTATGGGGGTGCAAACGATTGAAATCTTTACTTAATGTACACTAAACTGATCTTCTGTTAAAAAAAAAAAAAAAGAAAGAAACTATCAATTCCCAACTTGACTCCCACTGGGATTAAACATGACAATAGGTCTGATCTGATTTCATCATCATTTAAAAAAAAATCATCTATTATTTTTCACTTTATGTTTCTGTGTGGGAACAAACTGTTGAAATCCTTACTTAAGGTATACTAAGCTGATCTTCTGTATACTAAGATAATCGAAAATGAATCTTGATGTGAATGGAAGTGGGGAGGGAGTGGGAAAGGGGAGGGTGGTGGGTGGGAGGGACGGTATGGGGGGGAAAGCCATTGTAACCCATGAGACGTACTTTGGAAATTTATATTCATTAAATAAAAGATAAAAAAAAAAAAGATTGATTGATTTAAAAGGTAGAGTTACAGAGAAAAAGGAAGAGAGAGAGAGGTTGAGATCTTCCATCTACTGGTTCACTCCCCAGAGGGTCACAACAGCTAGGGCTGAACCAGACCAAAGTCGGGAGCCAGGGGGGTCTCCCTCTGGTTGGCAGGGGCCCAAACACTTGTGCCATCTTCTGCTGCTTTTCCCAGGTCACCAGCAGGGAGTTGGGTCAGAAGTGGAGCAGCCAGGACGTGAACCAGTGCCCATATGAGATGTTGGCATTGCTGGCAGCGGCTTTACCCATCACACCACAGCGCCAGCCCCCAACTTTCACCTTCTCACCTGTGCCAACCATGGCTGGCTTAGACCACGAAGACACAGAGACTTTTTTAGAATATGTTTTGCGCCTTTCAGATGGAGCTCTCATGGTCGGAACAGGCTCTTACACTGTGATAACTGATATAATAATACCATACATTTGTCTTCAGTATTTATGCAACAGTATCATTAATCACATCAACCAAATTACCATAATCATTCCACCACAAGGGTCCTGCTGAACTGCTTCCAAATAACAGATCTCCTTCTGTTTGCTCCCAGGCTCTTTGAAGACGCCACAGAGAAGTTGAACCTCATGGCGTTGGGGGGGTTTCTTTACCAGCTGAAGAAAGCATCACAATCCCAGCTTTTCCATTCCGTCACAGACACAGTCGACTACTCTCTGGCAATGCCAGGTAATTCTTTCCCTGAGGAAAGCACACCAGGAGACAAGCAGAAACAGCCTGAGTCTCTGATCCCAACAGAGGATTGGAATCCACGGTCCCACTGCCTGCGGTCACACTGGCGAAGCTCAAGTGCAGGCTCATCTTCTAGTTTTCAGGCATGAAGTGGGGCAGGGTATGAGTCTTCGTAAATGGAAGCCTTGCTGCTCCCACCGCTGCGGGTGGCACCCCTGGAGCTGAGGTTTATGCTTGTGATGGGGAAATCACACGGCTACTTCCCTGGAAGGTGGGGCATCTTCTCTGTATCGCAAACCACTCTTGTGTAGCCAACTTCCTGAAGTAACTACCAATTCCAGAAGGGATGCTGAGAGAGAGAGAATGGAAGCAGAAATAGGAACAGAAGCCTCATCCCACTCTGAGAAAAACCACAACCAGGGCTTATCCCGTCCATGACGGGCCAGTATCCCTGTCTCCCTAAGGGTGAGGCCAGGGGAAAGGAGAGGCTCTCTAGAGGCCAGCCTTGTGGAAGAGGGAGAATTGCACTGCAGCCCACGGCTCCCAGTTGGGTGGCAGGGGTCTCAGGGCAGAACTGTGCAGCAGCAGCAGAGGTGGCAGAAACCGTGCCTCACACAGGGTGAGTTCTGGCAGGGGCAGGGAGCCCTGTGTGGGGAACTACACCCACCGTGAGGTGCCTTCCACCCTTAGGAATCTAAATTGTTAAGTGCAATCGATGAGGGAACTTCACAAAGTTCCTGGAAAATGGAATTAAAGGTACATTTATTTTGATGTAAAAAAAAAATTGGAATCTATGCATCCAAAAGGTCTTCAGAAAGTTCATCAAAGATACGCATTATGAAAAAACTATGCAAGAGTGTCAAAAACTTTTTGCACCAAAAACTTGTCTGCCAGTTTCATTTTCCGTGAACTTCATGAATCACCATTGTATCTGGTCTTCTGCTCCTTGCAGCAGATCCTGATTTGAGAAGATGTCCTCCACTAGGTTGTAATAGACTTGGAAACCTTAGTTAAAGAAAGCCACCTCTTGGAGTCATCCGACTTCTAGAGTATCCCTGAGCCCAGGGGTGAGCTGCAAAGTTGCAATGGAGAAGACACCAGGCTCTGAGCTCTAGCAAAAAGAATGAGCAGACTTGGGGAAAGGCAGCAAACTTGGGAGGAGAGAGGATGAGTTTTGTAATCAGCCAAATATGACTTCCCAGCTGCATTGCCCAAAGCAAGTCACCTCCCCTTTCAGTCATTCAGCATTCAACTCTGTAACATGGCAAGTTTTCTTTTTCTTTTTTGCTTTGTGAGGTTGCTTTCAAAATGAAAGTGATGAGAGATGTAAAGAACCTACACAGTATCTGGGATAAACGTTCAGTAATTACCTGTGACTCTCGTTGTGCTTATCCTGAAGCTTAGTTGAAATGCAGAGCTGACTGGGAAGGAGCCTTGTAGTTGGGAGGGCCAGGTATGGAGCAGCACTGGGCTGGAAGCCTCGGGAAGCAGTGGGACATGAGCAAGAAGGAAGTGGAGAGGCCAAGAGACAGGGAGGGGCAAAGCAGAAGCGAGAGATCAGAGCGGGCAAGGATTACACTGGAGAGGACAGCAGGTTAAGGAGCACCGTACTGAGTAGCAGAGGAGGGCCTGGCCTGCTTAGCAAGGGCTTTCAGGTGCCATGAAGGATTGGTAGAGTAGATGGCAGCTGAGAAGGACGACGGTGACAACAGTAATAATGGTAGCTAACAGCGTTCATTAGTTAGTACGTGCCGGGCCCTGCTCTGAGCACTTGATGTAAGTTAACATGTCTAACCCTTAAAGCACCTTTAAGTGGTAGGTATGATTATCCCCAGCCCTACAGATGAGATAACTGGGGGTCAAAGGGAGCAGTCTTTGACCCAGTGTAATCAAACTGCTGAATGGTGGAGCCAGGAGTAGAGCCCGTGCTGACTCCCGAACCCTCCTGCTTAACCACTGTGCCATTGCTCCGGGTCATTGAGTGTTGTTCTCACCTGTCGTGTCCCAGGGCCTAGATCAAGGAGTAAACACGAGAGGGGGAGAGAGGCCCTGGCCTTCTGTGCTGAGCCCCCTCCCTTCCCTTTCCCACTCCCCCTCCCCCTATTCCTCTCTTCCCTTTTAGCAATCCCCAGCCCTCTCCTCCCTCAGTTGGCACACATCAAATAATCCAAGTAGTCCCAGTACAGCACCTATATTTTCAGCCTCTCTCTAAACTTGAGGATGTCAGACTATTCCTCAGCTTTGGCTTTCTGGCTTAGTATGGTCTTGCCTGCCTGTAGGAGAAGTGAAATCCACTCACGACCGAAAAAGTGCCCTGCACCTGTTCCGCCTCGGGGATGCTATGCTGAGGATCGTGCGCAGCAAGGCGCGGCCCCTGCTCCACGTGATGCGCTGCTGGAGCCTCGTGGCACCCCACCTGGTGGAGGTGAGTGCCTGGAGGGTGGGACAAACCTGCCAGCCCCCAGAACTCCTGCCGCACAGCCAGCACAGGGCTCCCGGGTGGTGTGTTGGGTAGAGAGCGCCAGGGCCGTAGAGCAGTGGGAATCTTTGCGTCACCTGCTCACTAACATCACTTGTCTGTGGTTCTACTGCAGGGCCTCTAAAGAATCACCACAAAGGCCAGGGCTACCCTGACCTCGCTCTGCCCTCTTTCTTTACAAGTGAGCGTCCCAGCTGCCTTGCACAACCAGCTTTTCATTCTTTATGCTGTGGCATCTGCCTGTGCCTGCAGCCAAAAGATAAGCAGATGGCTCTGAAAAATCTTCATTTTTGTAAATAAATACAGTTGCGTCTTTGGTTCCTGCCAATCTCTTAATTTCTAATCACTAAATGGTCACTGACTATACAGTGTCCTTTCAGGAGGGGAGCCCTACATCCTAGTTTTCCCAGTAAAATTAATACTAGGCTCCTTTCACTCTCCGGTGGAAAGCAGTTCATGTGATAAAATGTACTGGGGCCGGCGCTGTGGCATAGTGGGTACAGCTGCCACCTTCAGTGCCGACATCCCATATGGGTGCCTGTTCGAGTCCCGGCTGCTCCATTTCCAATCCAGCTCCCTGCTATGGCCTGGGAAGTCAGCATAAGATGGCCCAAGACCTTTGGCCTCTGCACCCATGTGGGAGACCTGGAAGAAGCTCCTGGCTCCTGGCTTCAGATCAGCCCAGCTCTAGCTGTGGTGGCTATTTGTGGAGTAAACCAATGGATGGAAGACCTCTCTCTCTGCCTCTGCCTCTCTGTAACTCTCTACCTTTCAAATACATAAGTAAGTAAGTAAGTAAATATTTGAAAGGCAGAGCTACAGATAGAGGGGAGGGGGAAGGGAGGGAGGAAGGGAAGGAGAGGGAGAGGGAGAGGGAGAGAGATCTTCCATCTGTGGCTCAAATGGCAGCAATAGCCTCGGCTAGGCCAGACCAAAGCCAGGAGCTTCATCCAGGTGTCCTACATGGGTGCAAGGGCCCAAACACTTGGGCCATCTTCTGCAACTTTCCCAGGCCCGTCAGCAGGGAGCTGGATTGGAAGTGGAGCAGCCAGGACTCTAATCATTGCTCTGATTTGGAATGCTGGTGTTGCAAGCGGCAGCTTAGCCCACCATGCCACAATGCCAGTCCCCATGGGACACATTTTATGGCAAGTCTACATCTCAGCATCTCAGTACTGGGTGACTGATGACTCCCAGGTTGCTGGTATTACCCTGTTTTGCAGCAAAAACTATTCTAAATTGTCCTTTAGTTCTGTCTGGTAAAGATATATCATAAATTATTTTTTTAGAACCTACTTCAGTAACCTAAGAATTTTCTAGAAAGGAAAATGGGTAGCAAATTGCAACCTCGACATGGGACAGAGTCCTGTGGTTTCCTATTGCACTATAACAAACTACTTCAAACACCCAGTGGCTTCAGACAACAACCATTGATTTAGCTCATGATTCTTTGGGTCACAAATTCTTCTGTTAAGTTCCAGTCTGAGCCAGGTTGGGCTGGGCTCAGCTGGCCTTATTTACCTATCAGTGGTCAGCTGGTTCATGATTACCTTAACTCATCAGCCTGGACAAACCGGTCTCTCAGGGGTGGGAACATCTGGCTTGGGGGCCACGTAAGGCCCAGAAAATCATTTGGTCTGGACCTTCCAAGGCAACCGCAGGTAGGACTTCAAATTCAGTAAATCTCTAGCAGGCTCATTTTCAAGTTGCTCATTTCGTGTGGCCCCTGAATGATACGAATATCTCCAAATGACCTCTGGCAGAATCAAGGGTTCCCCACCCCTGCATAGTCTCATGTGGTCTGGTCTCCAGCACACCAGCCCCTACGTATTCATGTGGTTTTCCTAGGACTCCAAGGAGCAGCAAAAGAGTAGACCCCAAATCATAATTTAATTCTCTCCTCATATAATGCCCACTGTTGTGCCACTGGCCCAAAAGCCCCACATGCAAGCCCAGGGTCAGCGTGGGACAGAAGCATTGGAGGCAGAGACCAGCTAGAGCTCTGGTCGAAGCTGAGCCACCTCACTGAGGCTCCAACAATAGCCTCTGTGATCCTCATGTGTGTGGGACAAGGCTATGGATAAGACCATGAGCAGTTCCCCCTCCAGGTCCTGGGGTCTTTATGGTGAGCATATTCTAGACCATCTAAGAAAACTGTCATGTTTTGTTTCCTGAAGAAAGAAATGACTAGGAACTCTATTAAAGAGAAATTCTAGCTGGGCCTGACCAGTTGGTTGAATTTCTTCCGATGCAGTTCGTTGCATAGTTCCTCTTAGCCCTTAGACATTCGGTGACGTCAGCAGAGTTGCCGCTCCTGCCTCTGGGTGCCCAGGAGGGCAGGGGAAGCCCCGTTCTCCCAAGCCTGGTGCCCTCACGCTGTTCCACTGTGCCCTGGCGTTTGCAGGCTGCCTGCCACAAGGAAAGGCGCGTGTCGCAGAAGGCCGTCTCCTTCATCCACGACATCCTGACGGAGGTGCTCACGGGCTGGAGCGAGCCGCCTCACTTTCACTTCAATGAAGCCCTCTTCCGGCCTCTGGAGCGCATCATGCAGCTGGAGCTGTGTGACGAGGATGTCCAGGACCAGGTGAGGGGCCCGGGCTCACAGCAGTGTCCACACCACAGCCGGCTTTTGCCCAGGGCAGCAGCAGGCACTTTTCTCTGAGCTTTTCGTAGTTGATCTTCCCTATAATCTTAAGTCAGTGACACAGGGAGGTTCAGCAGCCCAGGGAAGAATGCATAAGTAGTGCTTGAACTTCAGCCCGTGCGGTACTTCCCTCTCTGAGGATACTGCCCCTCCCTCCTTCCCTCCCCCCTCCCCCTCCCTCCCTCCCTTCCTCCCTCCCTCCCTTCCTCCCTCCCTCCCCTCCCTCTCTTCCCTCCCTTTGTCCCCTTCCTCCCTCACCCCTCCCCCTTCCTCCCTCCTCCTCCCCCTCCCTTCCTTCCTCCCTCCCCTCCCCATCCCTCCCTCTCTTCCCTCCCTCCCTCTCTTCCCTTCCTTCCTCCCTTCCTCCCTCCTTCCTTCCCTCCCCCCTCCCTCCCACCCTCCTTCCCTCCCTCCCCCCTCCCTCTCCCTCCCTTCCCTCCTTTCCTCCCTTCCTTTCCTTCCTTCCTTCCCTTTCTTTCATCTACCTTTATTTTATTTTATAAGCAGAGAGACAGAGCAATCTCCTGTCCACTGGTTCCCTCCCACAGATGCCCATAGAAGCCAGGCCTGGGCCATGCCTGGACCAGAAGTTGGAAACTCAGTCTGGGTCTTCTGTGTGGGAGGCAGGGACCCAGCCACTTGAACCATCACCTGTTACCTCCCAGGGTGTACGTTACAGGAATCTAGGACCAGACGCAGAGCTGGGACTCAAACCCAGGTGTGCTGATCTGGTGTGTGTGTGTGTCCCAAGGGGCTATCATAACAACTGCACAAAACAGCCAGTGCTATGGCCTGGCTGGTTAAGCCGCTGCTTGCAATGCCAGCTTCCACATGGGCGCCAATTCAAATCTCAGCTGCTCTGCTTCTGATCCAGCTCCCTGCTAATGTCCTGGGGAAAGCAGTGGAAGATGACCCAAGTGCTTGGAAACCTGGCCACTCCTGAGGGAGACCTAGAAGAAGCTCCTGGCTCCTGTCTTTGGCCTGGCCCAGACACAGCCATTGTGGCCACCTGGGGAGTGAACCAGCAGATGGAAGACCTCTCTCTTTGTCTCTCCTTCTCTCTGTATAGCTTTCAAATAAATGGATAAATCTTTTTTAAAAATGAAACCACAAAACACAGGGAAAAACAGGCAACAGTTAGAGTTGCAGATGACATAATCAGACCTTGAAAGAATTGAACTAAAATATTGGTATCTTCGACATGAATATTAAAATGTCTAGTAAATGGGCTGGCACCGTGGCTCAATAGGCTAATCCTCTGCCTTGCGGCGCCGGCACACCGGGTTCTAGTCCTGGTCAGGGCACTGGATTCTGTCCTGGTTGCCTCTCTTCCAGGCCAGCTCTCTGCTGTGGCCCAGGAGTGCAATGGAGGATGGCCCAAGTGCTTGGGCCCTGCACCCCATGGGAGACCAGGAGAAGCACCTGGCTCCGAGCTTCGGATCAGCATGGTGCGTCGGCCACAGCGGCCATTGGAGGGTGAACCAACAGTAAAGGAAGACCTTTCTCTCTGTCTGTCTCTCACTGTCCACTCTGCCTGTCAAAAATAAAAAATGTCTAGTAAATGATTTTTTGGAAAAGCCTGGTATACAAGAACCAGCTGCCGAAGGTGGAAAGACCTAAGAGACTGAGGAAAGAAAGAGGCAAATCCAGGATTATACAAAGGCTGATTTATTCGGGGGACTTGGAAGCATGGTGTCAAGTGGCCACAGGACAGGGGAACCCCATATCACAGAGCAAGAGGAAAGGACTTTGATGGACAGAGGCATCCTGTGATAGATCAGAATGCATCTGGAGTTTCTCAGGAGTTACCAACATTCCTAAGAGACATTCTGAGCATGTGGTAGAAACACCAGATGGGAGCAGTCACCTTCGTGCCATTGTTCACCCTATCATACTAGGGCTGAGAATGACTTCCAGGGTCACCCAGAGGTTATATCCAAGGTGGCTGTCGTCATGTCCAGTGAATCCCCACCAAAGACAGGCATGAAAATATGAGTCAACATGTGAAGACTAGGCTGGGGGATTCCAGGAGTAATGAATGAGGTTATTGGGATCAGTGTACCTACAGCAAATAGCTAGAACAATTGAATAACCAAAACAACAACAACAACAAAAACCTTAATCATTTGAAGACCCTGGAATACAACAAGGCAGTGCAGGACAATGGGGCCAAGATCTGGGAGGAAAAGAATGACTGGGGTGGAGAGTCTGGGGTTTGAGAGTACTTCTAAAAGAGCAGTCTGCTAATTTCAGAAGAGGAAACTAGATTGGGAAGCTCGGCACAGCTGATGTCTTAGATTAGAATGATGAAGAGAATGGGGCATGCTGGGAAGAAGGGAGCCCCTGAAATACTGCCTACTGGTAACAGAAAATAGCAACTCATCTTCAAATAATCCTAATCCCTAACCTGAGATGGGGATGGCCTGAGATTTCTGGCACCTGCCCTGAGCACAGAACGCCTTTCTCACAGGGAAGAACATGATCTTAAGCTTCCAGATTTTTTTTCTTGTCTTGCAGATGCAATATCTCAGTCAATCAAACATAATGAGGTGCTGTAAGAAATAGTATCTCATTTAATCAAATCTAATGAGGTTCTGTAGGAAAGAACATGTCAGTGAAAACAATAGAAAGGGACACACATAGACACGCACACATTCCTGTGTACCCAGGGACCCAGAGAACTGAGTTATCAGAGTTGAGCTTTAAAATACCTAAGCTTACACGTGTTCAGAAAGATTAAAGACAGGAGAGACTTGGGTATGGTCACTTGAAGTTTGTGAATCTCAATGACAACAACAAATGTATAAAAAAGACTAAGTTGTCAAAAACAACCACTGAAGTGTTCTAGACACTGAACAAGGATAGAGCATAAATTGAGTAACATTTATTCTTAAAAATATTTCTTGCTAGGACTTCTGCTAAGGGTAGTGCAGAGTCTGTGACCTTTGGGGCCAGAAACTGCACTCATCACCTTTATTCCCAAAGCTCTGTTTGAATATTGTGGGGCTGACTTGGAAAAATCAGCTTTTCTATTATAAGACAAGACTCGACTTGCAGAAGAAGGATAAAAGACCATTGCTTTGCCAGCTGAACCTGGTGAATTCACTAGGAAATGAGCGGGGCAATCCTTCAGCTCTGCTAGCCAAGTTTGCAGTGAGTGACAGTAAGAAGTGTAACATAAGGTCCTGAAGACCAGTGATTTATAGAAGAACCAAATAAGCTAGTTCTTCACCCTTGCCTAACTGAATGAAACATGGGACATGTTCAAGTTACAGTGTACAGATCCCATAAAAGGTAAGGGAGACTTAAGAACCGGTGGAGGGGCGGGCACTGTGGTATAGTGGGTGAAGCTGCTGCCTGCAATGCGGGACCCCATATGGCTACAGTCTGGCCAGCCCTCACTGTAGCAGCTGTCTGGGGAGTGAACTAGCAGGTGGATGATCTCTCTCTCACTCTGTCTCTCCCTTTCTAACTCTGCCCTTCAAATAAATAATTAAAAAAAAAAAAAAATGAACTGGCTGAACTTTGAAAATTCTCCCCAAACTACACACACACAGATTAGTTGACAGAGGGATGGAATCCTGAAATACTCTAAATGTTTGAACACGATCTCTCCCAATTTCATCTGCTGACCACTAAGGTCTGCAAGCAAGGGTATGAATGCTAGGAATTCAGGCAAAAAAATAATAAAAATTAAAGACATCATCATCCCCTCACACCATGGGAAGAAAGATTCTAGTCTATAATTCCAAGTAACTTAGTTTTCTTTTTAACATTTATTTATATATTTGTCAGAATTATAGAGGGAGAGGGAGAGACAGAGAGACAGATCTTCCATCCACTGGTTCACTCCCCAAATGGCTGCAATGGGCCAGGGCTGAGCCAGGCTGAAGCCAGGAGCTTCCTCTGGATCTCCCACATGGGTAGCAGTGGCCCAAGCACTTGGGCCATCCTCTACTGCCTTCCTAGGCCATTAGCAGGGAGCTGTATCAGGAGTGGAACAGGCGAGACTTGAACCAGCACCCATATGGGATGCCAGCGTTGCAGGCAGTTGCTTTACCCACTATGCCACAACACCAACCCCCATAACTTAGCTTTAAAAACTTAAGAAAAACAAATTAGAATTCATCGTTGTTTAATATGTTATCCAAACTGAGTAGTTTTCAGGAAACAAATGATGAGGAATGCAAAGAAATAAGGAAGTGATGCATACTCAGCGGGTAAAACAGTCAATAGAATCTGACTTAGAGTGATCCTAGGTTTTGGATGTGGGAGAAGAGACTCAAAAGAAGCTCTTATAAATATTCTCAAAAAATTAAACTCCAAAGTAGGGAATCTAAATAGGGAAATTGAAACTATGAAAATTCAAATTCTAGAGATAAAAAGGACAATAACTGAAATGAAAAATTAGCACCGGCGCCATGGCTCACTAGGCTAATCCTCCGCCTTGCGGCGCCAGCACACCAGGTTCTAGTCCTGGTTGGGGCGCCAGATTCTGTCCCGGTTGCCCCTCTTCCAGGCCAGCTCTCTGCTGTAGCCAGGGAGTGCAGTGGAGGATGGCCCAAGTACTTGGGCCCTGCACCCCATGGGAGACCAGGAGAAGCACTTGGTTCCTACCATCGGATCAGCGCGGTGCGCCAGCCGCAGCACACTGGCCATGGCGGCCATTGGAGGGTGAACCAACAGCAAAGGAAGACCTTTCTCTGTCTGTCTCTCTCTCACTGTCCACTCTGCCAGTCAAAAAATTAGCTAGCTGAGCTTCTGAGAAAGATTTGAGATGACAGAATCAGTCAACTGAAGAAACCTAGGTTAGGGGCTGGCATCATGGCACAGCACGTTAACCTGCTACCTACAATGCTGCATCCAGTATTGTGGAGCAGTACAAACACAGCTGCTCTGCTTCTGATCCAGTTCCCTGACAATGCACCTGGAAAAGCAAT